ATTGCTACATTACCTTACTGATGAGTCCAGTAGTGGAAGCCGGGACGAAACGCCAACTTGTGATATTCTTCGCAATCTTAATTCATAGATTTTAAAATTATCATTACTTCAATATTAAATTTTAATATATGTCTTTCAACATATTATTAAGATCTAATAAGATGCTATATGCATTGAAAATTGTTACATTGATTGTCAATCTAACTAAAAGTGATATTACCGTGGTAGTTGTTTAGAGTTGCGTTGTAAGTCTGAAAAAATGTTCGGCACGCGATTAGGGGAACTATATACGCAGTATATAAAATTCACACATAATGATAATAATAAGCATCGTGATCTAGCTTTGACCAAAATAGGCTTAGCTTTGTGCTTCCTTCTTCTTTGTTATTGTTTAACAATTTGTACGGTCGTATAATTAAAATTAAAGATTCTAATATTTTTTAAAGATACAAAAAGAAATTTAAAAAAACAAATACCAAAAAAAAAATGAAACTATAAGCTCGCTAGGTCCTCGTCCTTAGTTCCGGGTAACGCTAAACGCGAGTATTTGTTAGGTACTCTCATTAAAATTGTGTGATGTGTGCTTTTCATTATTCTTATAATTATTATATATTAATAATTAAAATCATTGAACATCAAATTTTATGAAATTTGCCCTAACATTTAGAATTTACGGCCACCATATTGGATCCACTATTTTGAATTTTGAAATTTAAGTGACGATTTCGTAATTAGCGGTGGCGTCGAGTGGCTCACCGCTCTGTGCGATTGACTCGCGATTTGTAGACCCGAGTTCAATCCCATGTGCGCCCAAACGCGATTTTTCGCGTTTAATGAGCCAAAAAATGGCTCCACCTGGTGATCAAAAGATCTATGATCATCAGCGCCGTTCGGATTCGGCGTTAAACTGTAGGTCCTATACATCCGTATACATCAGTAGTATACATATCAGTAGATATTTGTCTCTAATATCTGACTGAGGTAGGATTCTGTGGACCAATCACCCACAAATCCGAAAAACAAATCTGATTCGAGAAACGAATATAGGCCTCGGACAAAAGAGGTCTATAGACGTCCTATGCTCCACATAAGGAGATAAAAGGAGTTGTCGTCGTCGTAATTAGCGAACCCGAAAATTTGTATATCAACACTGAAGGGTTTATGTACGCACAAAAAAAATTTGCAAAAAGTTTATAACAATTTCGATTTTTTGTTAATTAACAAATTGTTATATCAAAAAAGGTGCAGATCTCCGTTATAGTACACTAAATAACAAGTATTTAAAAAAAAATTCATTGCAATCGGTTCAGAATTTAGCCGTCACACAGTGGGGTATTTTCGCAATCTAGGTGGACAAAATTATTGCGCTAAAGCATATTCGTTTTTTTGCTTCTACAAGACTCGAATGATATAAAAATGTAATTTAGAGTGTATTTTCCACCTTTTTAAAAAATAATTTAATTAAATAAATAAATAAATAAATAATTTAAACGATATATTTTCTAAATATGCTTATAACATTTGTTATACCGCGTTATACCGTCATGTAATTATTTTTACGTTAAACCTAAACCCTTAAAGTGTACAGAAAAATCAAACTTTTTGTGCATAAGTTTGCATAACCTATTGATATGAGTGATAATATGCCGCGCGCGCTCGCATACGCGGTATACTACACCTGTCTATGCTTATAACATTTGTTATACCGCGTTATACCTTTATGTAATTATTTTTACGTTAAACCTAGACCCTTAAACTGTACAGAAAAATCAAACTTTTTGTGCATAAGTTTGCATATCCTATTGATATGAGTGATACGGCATACTACACCTATCTATGCTTATAACATTTGTTATACCGCGTTATACCGTCATGTAATTATTTTTACGTTAAACCTAATCTCTTAAACTTTATAGAATAATAGTTTAGAATGTATTTTCCCGTTCTTGGAATAATTTAAACTTTTTAACGATACGTTTTCTAAATAACATATAGGGTTCTGCGCGCGCGCGCGCGCGCGTGTGTGTGTGCGTGCGTGCGCGTGCGTGTGTGTATATGTGTGTGTGCGTGTGTGTAACAAAATGACTATTTAGAGTCACTGCTGTTTATATCATTTTCTGATGTACGTACATCACATTGTGGTTCAGATAATAAGTTTAACACTTCTGAACTGATTTTCCCATGTTTTGTTTTTGGGGGAGCACGTAAACTCGTAATTAATGGGTTAGAGGTGATAAGCAGTCTATTCAATAAGTCCCTGTTTGTGTCTGTTCTCAATGTTTTTCTTGTAAAATATTCCCGTATTGCCTGTGGTGTTTATTGCGTGCCTCTTGCGCTTTTTCGGAAAAATTCCCAATTGAAAGGATACAAGTTTCAATAATATCCCTTCCATGATCTAGAATTTTGTGAACGGAAACAGGCATTGGGTACCAATTATAATAGTTTACATACAATTTTCGCGTATTATTTGCATATATTCGCTAAATTTATCTAGATTAATCTGAAATCCGGAATTTAAACATTCTAATATGATGTGAAAGCGTTTGATTAGCTCTACGTTAACTTCTGTTATTTCAGCTGATTTTTCTGCATTTCTAAAAAATTTACGAGCCGTATTACCATCATTGGTATTACCCGTTTGCTGTTTCGGCATATCTATTAAAAGACCCAACTCACTCTTGAATTTGTCTTGTACGATCTTCCTTTTTTCATTAACCTTGTTTTTATTTATTGTGCCACGAGCTTGTGCTAATTTGAAATCGTGTCTATAGGAAATATGCAATACACATTCCATAAAACGTATCCATGAATGAAGAGGCGACAGTCTAAATGAAAGAAAATTCGTATTCACTGTTCTTTTTTTTTTTTTTGAAACATTAAAATTATTTACTTCACGTGGCTTCGCTCCACACAAGTAACACGTTTGTGTTGACATACATGATGACACAGCATTGCACACCTTGCCGTCTATCATACAAAATATTAATATAGGTTTCACATGCAATTCCATATCATTCATGCATACTTTTGTTGGCAAAAGATTTTTTATTTGATTTCTTATGTTTGTAACTTCCGCATTTATCAGATCTACTGATTCTTTGGCGAAAACTAATTTAATGGGACGACAGTATCTTGTTGAGGACGGTGACGGATTTTGCCAAATAATTTTTTTATGATCACTGAAAACAGTATACATTTGTAAAGGTATCATACATATACTAAACATACTTTCGTCTGTATAATGTTCTTGCGAAAATTTTTGTCGGTACCTACTTTGCTGAGCTCTATCACAACCCCATTTTATAATTATGTGAAGATTACTTCTTTGCGATGAGTGTACCACCTCCAGGACTTCTTCTAAAACTTCACACAATCGTGTGATTGTGTGATTGATGAGCGATTGAAGTTGTATTTCTGCTGCTGTAACAACAATATCAGATGGATAGCATAGTTGTTTAGCTATTTTTATTGTATAATACGCTGGATATAATTTATTATCAATAACTTGAACTTGTTGTCGTATAATGTTGTACTGATGTCTCGAAAGATTGGCATCAGCTATTAGCGCTAGCGCTTGATCTGGAGATAGTTTTTTTGAATCGTGAAGAGCAGACTGACATGCCTTTTTTATTTCAGTTCCTCTTGTTGAGGCAGCAGTACCGAGTTCTGCTACAATTGATGCAGAATCCTTCTTACCCACCAGTCGTAATTTAACTGCTGTAGCCATAGCTAATTCTTCGTGACTTGATTGTAATAAGTCTTTTATTTTTCGTTTTTTAGCCTTTAGACTACAATCATTAAAATTTTTTTCTGGTCTACCAAGTCTATTTTTGGAATCACAATGGTTGAGTTCAGCAAACTCAACTGTTGCGGAGCGGATTCGTAAGCGTGCACTGCTATTGGTATATTCTTTTAGATTAGATCCAATAGCAGCGAGCGCTCACAGATCGGCTCTGCAACAGTTGAGTCTGCTGAATGTGACCTTTGTGAAGTACTTGGTAGAGTTTGAGTTACAATACTAGGAAAAATAAAATCTTTTTCGAGCCACAAAGAATTAGCTTTATAAAATTGTTCTTGACATCTGGCCGATCTCGTCCATCTTTGGTTAATTTTGTGACAGATGTTTTTACATTCTAACTGATGTTTTTACATTCTTTATAGCTGTATCTGGCAATGAAAAATCATCAAGTCTTTGCAAAACAAATGCTAATACAACATTAGTTCTGGTATCATTTCCTGAATTTTTGAACCATATGTCAAAAATCTCCTTACGCGAAATTTGAAAAGGCATTGTGAAGTACAGAATTGTATTACCAATTATATTAAAATTTTCAATAGAAACTTTTAAAAGATTAAACGAGAAAGAAATGCAGAAACTCACAGAAAACAGAGTTCAGAAGGATATATTTATATCGTTCAATATATGTAATCATATCAAGGTGAAGCGAATTCAAAGAAAGTTTGACTTACTTTGACTTAATTTGTTGACTGCGACTCGTATTTATTACAATAGAGGCACGTTTTGCATGCGAGATCGAATCGCGCGACTTGCGTTGCCTAGCGGCAAGTGCGGCAGAACCTGTGGCACATATGAGCGCGCGCGGCATATTATCACTCATATCAATAGGTTATGCAAACTTATGCACAAAAAGTTTGATTTTTCTGTACACTTTAAGGGTCTAGGTTTAACGTAAAAATAATTACATGACGGTATAACGCGGTATAACAAATGTTATAAGCATATTTAGAAAATATATCGTTTAAATTATTTATTTATTTATTTATTTAATTAAATTATTTTTTAAAAAGGTGGAAAATACACTCTAAATTACATTTTTATATCATTCGAGTCTTGTAGAAGCAAAAAAACGAATATGCTTTAGCGCAATAATTTTGTCCACCTAGATTGCGAAAATACCTCATTGTGCGTCGGTCGATTTTTGAACACAAAAACCGACTTTATGCCCACCGTGTGTCGGTGCAAGCGGGTCGGCTTAAAAATGGCGGGGCTCGCGGTACCGACAATCCAAATTAACCTGCATCACAGCAAAGGCGCCTCGGCGATTCTAGCCAGGAGCATGGCTGTGATGCAGAAAGCAATAGCAATAATTCAGGAGCCTTGGGTCCTGAATAACGCTATAAAGGGTCTGAGTGGCTGTGGAACCATCTATAAAACAGACACTCAGGACAAAATTAGGACCCGCATTGCAATTAAGGGACTAAATGCTATTTTTATGTCACAGCTCAGTGATGGAGACACCACCGTTATACGGACAAGGCTGGAATACGATGAGGACAGACACTTGGACTTACTCATAGGGTCAGTCTACATGCCCTATGACTCCCAAGAAGAACCACCACCAAAAAGAGTGAGAGAACTGGTGTTCTATGCGAAGGAGAGGGGGCTTGAACTCCTATTGGGCTGCGATGTAAACTCCCACCACATAGGGTGGGGGAGCTCGAATATAAACCCGAGGGGAGAGAGCCTCCACAAATTCATTATGGACACCGGCTTGATGATCCTTAACAGAGGAACGGTACTCACCTTCATGGACTGCAGAAGACAAGAAGTATTAGATATCACCATTAGTACTGGGGGAGTGGCGGACCTGGTGCGGGACTGGAGGGTCTCTGGAGAGCCCTCGGGTTCTGACCATAGACAGATTCGCTACAATCTCCGGCATATGGTGAATAAGGAATGGGGTCGTAACCCAAGGACTACAAACTGGGAAGGCTATAGGATGGAGGCCATCCTATAGCCTGAAGAAAGCCCCAAACAGATTTCACTCAGAAGAGAATCTTGAATACGCGGCGCAGTTTGTATGTGACGCGATAAAAGAAGCCTATGAAGGAAATTGCCTGGAGAGACCGAAATGCTATACAACCAAAACTCCCTGGTGGAGCAAGGAGCTTTCGAAGCACAGGTTGGAAGTAAGAAGACTCTTCAATAAAGCAAGGAGGAAAAACTCAACAGCCGATTGGGGAGAGTATAGAAACGCCCAACGCGGCTATAGCAAAGCAATAATTATTGCTAAAAGGAAAAGCTGAAGGGATTTCTGTAAAGGCATTGAGAGCGCTCCAGAAGCATCCAGGCTAAACAGAATCCTCAGCAAAGACAACACACTACGTTTGGGATGTCTTAAACTCCCAAACAGAAACTATAACGAGACAGTAGAGGAAAGTTTAAAATACCTCATGTCTACACACTTCCCAGGGTTGCAGGAAAGATACTGTGAATTTTAACAGGAGACCAAGAAACCCGGGGAAAAACATAAACCAAAAGAATGGACACTGGCAACCAAGGTGGTGACTCTTGAAGGAGTCGAATGGGCTATCAAGACCTTCGAACCATACAAGACTCTAGGACCAGACGGCATCTACCCTGTTCTACTCAGGGAGGGTAGGAGGGTCCTAGTAGACCCCCTGACGAGAGTGCTCAGGGCTAGCACAGCACTTCTTTCTTGAGGCCAGAAAGTCGAAATTTACAACTGTTCGAATTTTTAAATGTCCAGCTCTTAATTTCGAAGCTATTGATTATACTGATTTGATTGATTGGTCTTCGGTCACAATTACAGCACCACCGTTACTACAGTATATTTCGTCCCAAAGTATTGAATCATTTATTGCGTCTGAAGGTATACCAGATTGGGAATGTTTGAAAATTCCGTGTCACACGCAAGCTGTCGAAAGATGTGTGAAATTAGTGACTAAGGCATCAAGCATAGTATGTGGATCTGACAGTAGAGATAGCTTCATCAGATCGAACTTAAAATCGCAATCTATTATGTCGAATTTTTATAACAAATCAGAATTCAATATGCAAGATTTGCAATAAAACTTTTTGCGATTGGTTGGTTGGGGAGAGTGGGTGGAGCTCACAGTACAACTACCTTCACGTGGTGAGTTCTGAGTCGTCTTCTATTTAAAATAAACGGGCAAAAAGTTGTACAATTGATACGTTATTTGTTGAGGAAACGTTAAATACCTACACATTTTTCGTATAAAAATTACTTTGAGCACTAAAAAAATTACTAAAAAAGGTAGATAAAAACTAATAGAAACTAATATATAATAAACATAATTTACAAAATTTTGAGTAAAATGCGTGAGCGGAAGACATTGACCGATTAAAATTTTTTTTTGCTCTAAATTCGTATTTATATGTAGCAAGTTTTGCGCACTATTACGATGCGCATCGGAAAATTTTTCATTTTTCGACCCACCCTAATATGCAATTTCCTTTCGATACTGTATAAATCCAATTATTATGTGAATTATGTGAATAAGGTAGGAATTTGGTAGGAATACCTAAGTTATAATTTCGGAATCTATGTGCTACGCCAGATATATATTCAAGTGCATTTTTCTGTATTATTTCTTGATTACAAACTTTTTCAAAATCTTCGAATAATTGTAATTTATCGGAACTTGGTTCATAATTATTCAAATGTTGTTCTAGAAAGATAAATATTTAATACATGGATAAATATAAAAAAAAAAGCAGGATTAGAAAGTAACTTGTTACTGTACAGTCAATGTTACATTTTTTAAATAATTGTACTTATTAAGAATGATAGCAGAATGTTAGCAGTTTGCACGCAGATTGACAACAAATTCAATCAGATTTGATTTCTTTTAAAAAATAATTCTTTTAAAGAATAATGAGAATTAGTTTTATTAGAGTATATATAATTACAAATAACAGTTTAAATTTTTCTGTATATATATACAGAAAAATAAAAAAGTATACAAAGTATACCTTCTTACTATTCTATTTTTCTATATACCTTCTATACTTTCTCCTTCTGATACGCCAGGTTCATATACGCCAGTTTCATCCCTTTCTACAGTATCGTCATTTTGGATTTGTGGTGAAAACATTAATACATCTTCTTGTTCCTCAGACAATCGATCCGCAAGATTATGTACATCAGTCATATAATTATTAATGAATCACAATTATTATCTTCGGTATTTCTGTTTTCAGAAACAACATGTTCCGAGTGTTTTCCAAGGATAAACCATTTTAAACGGTTTTTTTATTTCTACGGGTGTGGGATGATCATATCCATTTCGCATGTCTCTTATGTAGGAAAAAAAGTTTTCGAGGATATCTTGGTTTAATTTTCGAGTCAGCACATATTCTATATTAAATGATTCAGACGAGTACTTATCTTGTAGATGTGCCAACATTTCTCGCAATAATCTGTTACTTAACAAAATGCCTTTCTGAAATTGCAATAAACTTTTTCTATGTCCTACTCGCATTTCCATTATGAATTTGTCCGTATCATTAATAATCTTATTTTGTTCTTCTGTATTAACGCCATAAGCATTTGATATGCTACATTTACCATATTTAAATGTGCTATTAAAAATGTCGAATCAAGTGTTAAACAGTTGAAGTAATTCGAATGTCTGTTTCCACATTGTATTGCCAAGAAAACCATTTTCACCACATCTGTTGTAGCGTAAGGAAAACGAGAATGATAACGTTAGATTTGCTCTGGAAAAACTCTCTTTATTTCACAAAGTTGTGCGGTCTATAACAGCAATAATAATAACTGAATATACTTGACGAAAAAGTTCTCAAAAAGGACGTAAGGCGCGCCGGTATGATAAATTATTATCGACGCTAGATATCGATTTGTAACATTTCTCCCACCTTGAGTAACGGGAGGAACTCAACTTAAAACAAATTAAAATAAGACAACGTCATTAAGTTTAACGATTATTCTGTAAGAAAAAAAAAAATAAAAAATAATTTTAAAATTCGAATTTCTTTGGAGTGTTTACATGTCTACCACTCCTGGTTCGGACTTCTTTTACAGTGTCTAGCGTAGCAGGTTGCTGCTCCATATCCTTAATTCGCTCGATTGTGTCCTGTTCCACATCTTGGATTCGCTCGGTTGTATCCGTACTTTGTTCAGTCGCCCTCGCTGTATTTGTACATATCTCCAGTGGATACAGCCATTGAACTGGTCGCACCACCTCTCCGGATGCAGTCTTTACTTTGACTACTCGTACAACGCCATCCTTGCCTGGGAACACCTTAATCACCCGAGCTAATGGCCAGTCTAAACGTTTCAAATTGTCTTGACCTAACAGCACAATATCTCCTTCTTTTATTAGAGTACTGTTATTTTTGTTTCTGCGAGATAACTGACCCAGGTACTCGGAACGAAAGCGTTTACGTAAGTCATTTCGCAAACTTTGGCGATATCGCATTCGTTTATTCAAATTAACTTCCAACCTGTCCAAATCAGGTACTTCATTTTGCGAAATTTCTTGCAAAAAATGCATCGGTGTCAGAGGCTTCAATTGCGTCGGATCGTCTCCTAAGTATCCTAGAGGACGTGAGTTAATGATGGCTTCGCAATCACACAGGATCGTAGTCATTTCTTCTAAGAAAGACAAGCTCTTTTTAGCGTTTTCTTGAGCAAGTCTTTGGTTATTCTAATCAGACGCTCCCACCATCCTCCCCACCAAGGAGCTAATGGAGGATTGAGGCGCCAATCTATTTTCCGCGTTGTACTAAATTGTTTGATTTTGTTTCAATCGACTTTGCGGAGTAAATTGCGAGCTCCAACAAAATTTGTCCCATTATCTGTGTAGATTATTGACGGTCTACCTCTTCTGGCGATAAATCTACGCAGAACTTGTAGAAATGCCTCAGTAGAAAGGGATGTAGTAATCTCTAAATGGATTGCTCGATAAACTGCACATGTAAATAAGCAAATCCATGCTTTCTGCGATTTCTTCAGGAACAATGGTCCTGCGTAGTCTATGCCAACAATTTCAAAAGCATTGGCCTCATTCACTCGTTCATTCAGCAGATCCCCTGAAGTAGATTCTAGTTTGTTGACCTTGTGTCGTTTACAAATTATGCAATTGTTTATCACGGATCGTACTGCAGCTCTACAAGTAAGAATCCAGAACATTTCTCGCAAATTGCTCATTAGGATTTGAATTCCCGCGTGATTCAATTGCTGATGTTTGTGCTCGATTAACCTCTTAGTCAAAGAGTGTTTTGGATCTAGTATGATTGGACGACAGAAATCATGCGTATCGTTTCTATTAATGACTGGCGATTTCAAACGTAATAGTCCATTTTCATCTTCATACACTTTCAGTGTACTAAATCTTGTCTCATTTACTCCGTTGATTCTTGTTGACTCAATTTTAAGACTATAAATTCTGCTACGGTATACTCTTTTACAGTCAATTCACCTGTTGATCTTGAAGCTTGAGGCGTTTGACAGTTATGAATGAAACGAAGGATCCATGCCATGGTTCGTATTATTTTGGAGTACTTAGACTGCCCCTTCATATACCAACTCTCTTGTTGCGTTACGAGCATACATGTTTCTTCCAATACTTCATTGATCGGCAAGGATTGATTCTTATTGCCAGTTGATTTCTTCATCTCCTCGTAAATCTCCGTCTCGTTAATAGTATACTCACTTGTAGGCCATCGGTTCTTGTCTTGCCTGAGCCACTCTGGTCCCTCCCACCATCGCGATTGTATTAAATGCTTTACCGTATATTTAAATGCTTACACCCTCGCGAAGGTAGGTCTGCTGGATTCATGGTCCCTGGAACATGATGCCATTGACTCGGATCCGATAACTTACGTATCTCTTTCACCCGATTAGATACGAAGGTATTCCACGGCTTGTCTCTTTTTATCCAGGTTAGAACTGTTGTCGAATCCGACCAGAAAGAAACATCTTCTTGTTCTTAGTTTAAAATACTTTTAATAGAGTGCCATAATCTGACACCAATGGTGGCCGCAAGCAGTTCAAGTCGAGGAATCGTTGTCTTCTTTATTGGTGCCACTCTAGATCTAGCGACAAGAAGTTGCACGTAAACGTTTTCTATTCCTTCCGTGCGTGCAAATACAGCAGCTGCGTACGCATTTTGACTTGCGTCTACGAATATATGAAAGGACAAATTCCTTGTTTCTTCGTTTCGTTGGAAGGCCCAACGTGGTATTCTTAGCTCCTTCAACCAAGAGAGCTGTTGTTGCCATTCGATGAAATCGTTCTTGATGTTATCTGGTACTTCTGTATTCCAATCCATTTTATACGACCAGAGTTCTTGTAATAGTAACTTGGGTTTCAAAAATATAGGCGACGATATGCCAATGGGGTCAAAAGTTCGCTGCGCCGTTGACAATATAATCCTCTTTGTAATCTTCACATCAGTTTGTAACTCTAACAAGGATGGAATTAATCCTAGCGTGTCGTCTTCCTTGTTCCAATTCAAGCCGAGTACCGACGTAGATACTTCTGCTTCTTCTTGTCCTGAGTATTCCCAGCCACGGAGATCGAATTTTCCTTTTGCCATGACTCGTTTAGCTTCTTCTATAAATAAAAATAACTCCTCCTTTGAGTCGACGCTGGTTACGCAGTTGTCTACATAAAAGGATTTTTGTAGATGTCCAATAACTTTTCTCTCTGCGTTTGTCTCTGCTCTTTGTAACGCTTTCTCTAAATGGTATTCTATGGTGCCTGTTACATAGAGAGACAATAATAAAGTCGTGCACGACATCGTCATTACGATCATGTGTATATACGTATACACATACAGTTCTCGCGCTGCATGGCAACGGAAGTTCGGTGTTGGCATCTCAAAAGACAAGGTTTGGAGGAAGGGACGCTCGAGTCCGCGCGGATCGAGCGATCCCTTCGACCTGTTGCATCAGAGAACGCAGTTACACGCGCGCGTCACGTGTACAGAACGCCAATCAAAGAGCTCCCCAATTAGTGGGGAACTGCGTTCTTTCGAGGAAAAATTCATTCGTCCGGTGATGCCTCCTAGTAAGAAAGGGCTGCTAGATACACCGAAGACTACTCTCCGATGTCGATATACTTCTATCTGTTCTGGGAACATCTTTTTCCACCAGAGAAATCGCAATACATTTTTGTCTTCTGGTGAAACGCTTATTTGCAAAAAGGCTCTACGAATATTTGAAATTAGTGCTATCCTTCGTCGTCTGAAACCTAATAATATATTAGGAATCAATCCAATCAAATTAGGACCTGTTTCCAGACATTGATTAAGTGAGAGTCCATTGGTTCCTACAGCTGAGGCGTCAAAACCTGGTCTTATTCTGGTAGTGCTGTTTTCCTTGATCACATGTCTATGGGGAAGGTAATATCCTTCTTGCCTTATTTCTTCATCTGGAACTCTCTCGATGATTCCCTCTGCTAACCATTCATCGAATATACTCTGGTAATCATCGTAAAGACCTTGCTTCTGAAGTTTTCTCGTTGTCGATTCTAATCGACGCTTTGCATCATTCTTATTGTCCGCTAATGGTAAATGATCATATCTCCAGGGAAGTGATATTTCGTATCTTCCTTCTTCATTCACTTTAATTGTTTGTTGAAAGCGCTCCTTTACTTCTATCAGAAAGATGTCTTTTGTTTTCTTCGAGATTGGATCCGTTATCCCTAAAGTATCTAATTCCCATAAGTTGGCGATATTCGCATCTTGAGCATACATTGAGACGACCATGAGCGTAGAATCTTCTCTTCTCGTAGACTGAACATTAGTTTTTCTTAATAATGTCCAACCAAGCAATGTTTCAAAAGCGATTACTCCGCATTTGAGTTCTTTTTTCCTTCCAGTAATCAACTTTCCACAAATATCTGCTCCTATTAAAACAACTATGGGTTCGTCTCTGTTATCGACATCGGTAAGTTTTATTCCTTGCTGTTGCAATTCTTGTATCCATGGGCCTTTCTTCACCGACGGAACATTCCGGCAGATGACATCCTGATCTAAAGCCACAAAATTACAGGAATATGAATTATCCAAACTTTTTACAGAAATCTTGTATCCTTTATGCATCCGTGGTTTAGATTTCGCGCCGCCAAATAACATATGCACGACTTCTTGTTCAACTATAATCTGAAAGTCTAATTTTTTGGCATAACAATCTAATACATATGATCTGTGTGATCCTGTATCGAAAACCGCTCGTACCACGCGCTCTTTATCTTGATTAAATAATTTGATATGAAGTGTTTGTAGAAACACCTCACATGTTAGATGGGCACTAGCGAGGTTAGATTGCTGTTGCGTCTCATTAGTTTTCTCTATTTGATCCTTTCCTTGAGATACATTCGGCGTTCTACTGCGACACATAAGTAGTACGTGTTTCTTGTTACACCAAGCACATTTTTCTTTATAGCGGCAGAATTTAAAACTATGTCCTATCTTTAGACAATGATAACAGGCATTTTTTCCCTTAACAACTTGAAGTCTTTCGTCGTACTGCATTTTCCTTGCTTTTCCGCATGAGGTACTATCATGATTCTGACCACAGAAGATACAGTTGTGTTTGTCCTCCTTGATAGAGATAAGTCCCACAGCAGTTGCAACTTCCTTGGCTTCGGCTTTATTTTTCTTTTTATTCTGAAAATCGCTGAGACCAAATCCATCCACTGCCATAGCAATTCTTTAATCGCTTAGTACCTCTACTTGGAGAAAAAGCATCAGCTCATCCAATCGTTGTTTCGACGTAGAGGATGCAATAGCCTTAGGATTCCTTTGCCACACGCGTAGGAGATCTTCGGGTAACGATGATTCTACCAGTGGATATAACATGGCCGCACACATATCCGTCGTAACCCCCAATGACTCTAAGGCACGTAAATGAGTTTCTGGTCTGTCATAAATTTGAGATAATGATGTATGTGTACTTATCTTTGCTTTGCTTAATACTAATTTAAGTATCTCGCGTACATAAACTTCGATGAGTAAATCTTCTCTGCCAAAACGACTCTTGAGACTCTCAATTACCTTATCGTAGTTGGCAGCAGTCGGTGGGAAACTATTGACTAGCTCACTCGCTCTGGTACCTTCTGTTATTGCTTGTATTAAGTACTGGAATTTATCTTCTTTCGTAATATTTGGATCTTCGTGTATATTCTTGAATAACGTCCAAAATTTTAGCCAATCTTTGAGCTCTCCATTAAAATGTGGCAGTTGTATCTTTGGTAGCTTGTATACGCGCACATTGTCCCTGGAAGCTTGTGTTGTCTGTCTGGTATTCTGAGTATCTGATGGTTGGAGACGGCCGAGGATAACATCTAGCAAGGCTTTCGCCTGATGATATCTCATCTTGTACTCATCGGCTATCTCAGTTTCTTGTGTGAGTTGTTCCTCTGTCGTATCGGCATCGAGCATAACCTCCAACATTTTTCGGTTCATTTCCTCGAGTTCTCTATACTTATCACTCACCATTTCGAAACGTACCTGTAACTCTCGCGTGTCTGGACTTTCATTTAATGCTGCTGCGTTCAATAAACCTAAATTACGCGTGAACGCAATACGGACAACAGTGCGAGCTCTCTTTAATTTCTCCATCGTAACGTATCACTAACGGCTTCTTCTCACATATACGCCATAACGACAATACTAGTCCTCTCACGGTCGCCAAATTGTTGTAGCGTAAGGAAAACGAGAATGATAACGTTAGATTTGCTCTGGAAAAACTCTCTTTATTTCACAAAGTTGTGCGGTCTATAACAGCAATAATAATAACTGAATATACTTGACGAAAAAGTTCTCAAAAAGGACGTAAGGCGCGCCGGTATGATAAATTATTATCGACGCTAGATATCGATTTGTAACAATAACCTTGACAACATATGTCAAGGTCAAGGTCATAGCGCTGGCCTCTCTTTTTATGCACTTTTACCCTTCTTTTCTTTTTTCCCTTTTTCCCAATAAAATTAAAACCAATTTAAAATTTCGAATATATCATTACTTCGCCTCGCATAAGGATGTTAATTAAGGAAATCGAATTTTTATTCTTA